CATCACACTCTAACACTATCTCAAACTGAGAAATCTCTTGCTCAGCCTTTACCAGTTGCTCCAAGCCCTTTCTCTTTTGATGTGTGTGCCTTCCTTTTCTTTAGTAATATTGTGGTCATTAATGATATTGGTGGTACTTGTTTTTAGAGTTTGAGTGGTAAATGCTAACCACTCCTTATTTTATACAGTCTTGCCCTTCAAACAACTATGACATGTGGCCCATTACCAATTTTCCTTCACCTCACCCTCACTTCTCATTACTAGTAACCATCTAAGAAGGTTCCATTCTCTCTGTACACTTTTCTTAGCTTTTTAAAAAAATAATAGTGGACTCAGACAATAATGGATTCTTTTGCCTCTGATTTATTTCATTCAGCATAATGTCCTTTAGATTCATCCACATTACCTATGTTTTACTAATTTGTTATTCTTCAACACTGTATAGTATTCCATTATACGGCATTGTTTATCCATACAAATCATTGTATTAGGATTTGCTTACCCATTCATCTGTTGATGGGCTCATAGATTGTTTTCCTCTCTTTACTGTTGTGAATAATGCTGCCATTAACATGAGTGTGCATATATCTGTGTCCCAGATCTTATTTCTTTGGGATGTATGCCTAGTAGTGGGATAGCTGAATCTAGGAGTGGTTCCAATTCCAACTTCGTAAGGAGGGGCTTATTCCATTCCCCACAGGGCTGCACCATTGTACGGTCCCACCAGCAGGGCATGAAGAGCTCCAGTCTCTGCATCCTCACCAGCATGTGCTGTTTTCTATCTTATTAAGCTTTGCTATTATTGCTGGGGTGAGATGGTATCTCATTGTTGTTTTGATTAGCATCTCTCTGCTGGCTAACAAACACAAGCATTTCCTTATCTGTTTATTGGCTGCCCAACTGTCTTCTTTGGTGAAATGTCTGTTCATATTCTCTCATATTTTTTAATTGTATTGTCTGTCCAAGTTATATCTAATATTTTAAAGTGTACCTGTTAGTAAAGTCCTTAAGAAAAATGTGTATTCTTTAAAAGCATGTTTTAGTCCCAGCCTGACCCTTCTACTAGTTCCTCCCTGGCCCTTCTTGCTGTGCCCCTGTCAATAGCCCAAGGTTCTCCTATTCAGAGGTTTCATTCCAAGTGTCTTGCCATATCTACAGGTAAATATGTTGTTGTTGTTGTTTTTGGGTACTGTCAAGTTGACTACAACTCGTAGAGACCCTCTGAACACAAATCTGAACCTTGCCCTATCCTGCAGCATCCTCACAAACTCCGATGCCTCAAACTCGTTGTTACATTCCTTGTGCCAATCCATTGTGCTGAGGGTCTTCCTCTCTTTCTCAGACCCTCCATCATTCCCAATATGAGGTCCTTTTCCAAGGACTAAACCTTCCTGCCAGCATGTCCAAAATATGTAAGATGAAGCTTTCCCATTCTTGCCTCTAAGAAGCACCCTCCAGGACAGACTTGTTTGCTCTTTGGGAAACCTATTGGATATCCAGAGAGTTCTGATGGCTTAATGGTAAGGAATTATACTGCCAATGCAAAGGTGCATGGTTCAAATCCACCAGCTTATCCACAGGAGAAAGATGGGCAATCTCCTCTAGTGTAATTTATGGACACTGAAACCTTCTGGAGAGTCAGTTATGAGTCCGTTCCAACTCAATGGTACACAACAACATAGGATGTTTAGTACTCTTCTGGATTTACTCAGTTGTGTTGCATGGATTCTCTCTTACCTTAGGATTCAATTGCCAAGGACCACAGGAAGTCTAATTCAGCTTCTTACAAAACAGAAACAACGTGATGCCATAACATTTATCTTATACCAACAGCACCTTAAAAGGATGCCACATCCCTTTTATATGCTTTATGCTTTACTTTGTAAGAGAATTTTACCTCAAGCGGACATTTGTGTTTCTGTTTGACATTGATGTCTAAATCGAATGCACATTCTCACCTTATCAAGAATCATTTCACACTTACATATTGCTCAAGGAGCCCTGATGGCATGGTTCACTTCATGCTGAGATGCTACCTGAATGGTCAGTGATTCAGATCCACAGCTGCTTCACAGAAGAAAGATGGGCAGTCTCTGTCCATAAAGATTTCCAGCCTCAGACACCCAATGTTTTCTAGAAGGCAGAATCGATATGACAGCAATGACTTTTTGATGTATATTACCTTTTTTATTTATTTCTTTTACGTGTACCATCAAATTGGATCTGACTGGTACAGGAGGCGATTGTTCCTCCTTCTTCAGCAGCGCATCTGGTGGATTTGAACCGCACACCTCTGGGATTGCAGTGCAGTTTCTTGCCACTAGGCCACCAGAGCTCGCCTGATGTATATTACTTAGTTTTAGATCTCTACAATAAAACAATGGTGTTCTTTTAAAAAAAATTAATAAAATTTATACTGATACAGTTGTTGGAGTTAGCTAACATTGAACTGGTTCTAACTCATGAAGATCTTATAGGATGAACCTGTATTTGGGTCAGTTTATCCCAGTGAGGATTTTCCTCCTTTATTCTGGCTGGGAGAATCCAGGTTGGGAAGTCTTCTGGAGTAGCCAGTTTCTACAGAAGTTTGTTTTCTGGTCCTGGTGAGGCTTAGGGTGGAATGTTTACTCACCATGGTGGACAGTGTTTGGTGGAGCTCTCCAATTAAAACAATCTTGGAGGCAGGAGTGGCATCTACTTGTGAAATAGTTTGCCTCTGGAAACTCTATCAACCTGGAGAAAGGATGAAAGTTATACAAGTGTCCAGGTCTTTCTTTCATAGGGTCGCTGTGAGTCATCTACAATTCGACAGCACTTAACAACAACAACAACACAGAGAGAACTCTGTTGGCCTAGTGGATAGAAAGTGATGCTACTAAGACCAAGGTGGGTGATTTTAATCTGCAGCCTTCAGGCCTGGTTTTAACCGTTTTTGGTCAAATACTCTTCTAAGTGGTATAGCACTGGTCTGTCCATATAGAGGTAACTCGTGGTTACTGTGAAGCTGAACACTGTGACACTGATATGTCAAATGCGATAATGGTTACCCATGGTGGACAGTGTTTGGTGGAGCTCCCTGATTAAAATTAGTTTGGAAGCAGGAGTGGCATCCACTTCTGAAATAGCTTGCCTCAGGAAACTCTATGAATTTGGAGAAATGAGGAAAGTTGTTTAAGTGTTCAGGTCTTTCGTTCATAGGTATCTATTAGTTGTCTATGCCTGAACAGCACTTAACAACAACATTCTGTCTGGCCCTCCATTTTTCTAAACACAATGTCCTTTTCTAGCAATTGGTCTTTGCTGGTGATGTGTCCAAAATGAGCAAGCCAAAGCCTCCACATCCTCACTGCCAAGGAGCATCCTGCCTGTATTTCTTAAAACAGATTTGTTTGTTCTAGGATGGATTTGTTCCTTTTTCTGGCAGTCCTCATTGGTTCATAACTGGCCTCTACATTGTCTGTTAATAGTTACAATTGACTCTGGCACTTGACTTTTCTAAGAGGCCAGTGAAAGGATGAACGGATCTCTAAACAGATAAACATGGGCAAGAGGGACACATTCGCCTGGTTAAAAATTCAAGTTTACCATTAACCAAACATGTCATTGGTATTCGTACTATGTTGTTTAACAGGTACCACTTGGGTAGCTGGACACAAGGAACTGTTTGTCTCTGCATTCCAGGAAGTCAAATATAGAGGTGGAGGAGGGTAAGTGCGTGGTGAGGAGATTTAGAAGTCTTAAGTAAACGGAATGTTTGGAGGATGTGCACACTCACATAACTCTACATCCCTCCCATGGAGAGGATGCAGTTGGCCCCTTCTCTAGCACCCAAGCTTGCTCTCATGCTGGCATGCTGGCTGTTAGCTGACACCACTGGGAGCTTTGTGCTCCGACTGTAGTGTTATGAGGTTTTGCTGTGACCCTGGGGAAAGATCACTGTCTGTCTTGGGCTCCACACACTGTCCACTCATGCAGAATAGAACAAAATGTTGCCTGGTCCTGAGTTGTCATCATCACTGTTGGTATGCCTAAGTCCAGTTTTATGGCCATGGGCCTAATCCATCCCCAAGGGTCTCCCTTGCCCTTATTGGCCCTCTTCAGCCAAAAGAACAAGCCTATCTGTACTGAAAGGAGGGCAGCCTGAGTGCTTCTTAGAAGCAAAGGTGGTGAGACTCTATCTCATATATTTGGGGCATGTATGAGGAGGGGTTAGTCTCTGGAGAAAGACATCATGCTTAGAAAAGGAGGTCAGAGAAAGAGAGGACTCTTGCAAGATAGACTAACACAGAGACTGCAACAGTAGGCTTAAGCACAGACTGTGAGGATGGCACATGATTCCATTCTACTGTACGCAGGGTCACTGAATCAGAGCTAATTTCACTGCACTTAAAACTACCAAACACAAGGTCCTCCTCTAGCAAGTGGGCTTTCTTGAAGATGGGTCTGAGACAAGTCAGTCCGACAGTGGTCCCTTGGGATCCACAAGGTTTGTACTGGCTAATTTTTGGAAGTAAATCAATAGCCCTTACTTCCTCGTCTACATTAAGCTGGAGTCTCTGCTGAAATCAGCACAACGCAGGTGACTCCACTGGAAGTATTAGTCGCAATGCTAGCCTCCGGAGTCACAGTAACATGTAAACATCATAGTGCAACAAACAAACTGACAAGTGGGTGGTAGATTTGTTACTTCTTGTCATTGTTTACCATTAAGTCAGAATTGACCATAGCCGACCCCTCCAGCGAGTTTTCAGAAGCAGTAAATTACATGGGAGGAGATTGACCAGCCTTCTGCCAAGGAGCAGCTGCTGGATTCAAACCACGTGCCTTTGAGATAGCAGTGCAGCTCCTTACCACTAGGTCCCAGAGCCTTGATTTGTTACTTAGGGGACTCTTTTCTGTAGACTGATACCAAAGCTGAATATTTTCTTTCAGGTGCGTCTCAATGAACTATATCCTGAAGGAGAGACAAGAGAATGCTGATGGCCACCATTAAGACGAAAATGACACAGTCTTCCGTGCACTGCTCTCTTCTGATCAGCGCCATGGGCATGTTTGCACTCAGCTACTTCACAAAAGGTCAGGAGAACACCACTCTGATTTTCACAAAGGAAAGCACCATTAGGAACTGCAGCTGCTCTGCAGACATCCAAGACTGTGACTATAGCTTGGCCAACCTGATGTGCAGCTGTAAAACCATCCTGCCATTTGCTATCGAGCAGACCAGTTACCACGGCCGTCTCACCATCTGGTTCACAGACACGTCTGCCCTGGGCCTCCTGTTGAACTTCACGTTGGTCCAGGACCTAAAGCTTTCCCTGTGTAGTACAAATACTCTCCCTGCTGAATACCTGGCCATTTGGGGTCTGAAGACACTTCGCATCAACACAGAAGCCAAACACCCATTACCAGAGCAGAGCTTGCTCATCTATAAGGGCAAGAGTGAAGCCAAAGAGAAGCCTGAGTCGTTGCAAAACGACTGGCAAACAAGTAGGTACATTTCATTCTTAGATACGGCTCTTTTCAATAAGGACTCATCCTTAAAGTCATACAGTATTGAAAATGTTAGCAGCATCATCAACAACTTCCCCTACTTTTCTTACTTTGAAACCATCCCAATACCAAGCAACAAAAGCTATGTTGTCACCTTCATTTACTAACATTGTGACTCTGTCCAATCACTGGGTACTTTGGCAAATTATCAATAAAATTTGAGCAAGGAATTAGACCACAAAATAGGTACCCATACCCACAGCTGACCTCCAATTTACAAAAGAGCCATGTTTCAAATGAGCAGCCTTTTCAATTCTACTCTGCTCCCAACCACAGGAGCTATTTTGAAAAACAAAGTCGAAAGAAACCACAGAATCAACTTAATTCAGTCCAGAAGCATGTATTGCCTGCCAGGTGAGGCTAGGCTTTTGCAAGCGGGAGTCTGCGGAGAAATGTCAAATCAGCCGTGGCAAAAGCAATACACGTGGGGAACTACTTAAAGAGCTGGACATGGGGACAATGGCAAAGGCATGGGCCCATTCTCCAGGGGACTTCCGTTAAAGCACTGCTTTTATTTTTTTTATCGGTTTGTTTGCTTTATTATGTTGTTTGTTTTATGCTTTATATTTCTACTTATGGGGGCTCCTTTTCTGTAGCTTTATAACAAAGCTGCATTCCCCTAAGTGGAGAATGATAGATTTCAGGGGATCAGGGATTGCAAATTCTTGGACAGTTATCTTCCAAGTACTTTGCTAATGACAGAAGTATTGATAAACAAAAGTTTTGACAGTATGTTTATAAAAGAGAAAGAGAGAAGGAGGGAGAGTGAGAGAGAGAGAGGGAGAGGGAGAAGGAGAAGAAGAAGAGAGAGAGAAGAGAATATAAAAGGGAAAGTAAGTTTAAGCTTGAAGCTTATAGATAGTACAGGCATAGAGAAGGCAGGGCCTTAGGACCAAATGAGGGCACTAAGGCTCTGAGTAAGGGAATACAGAAATGGAAATTGGAGTACATGTGTATACAAACATGGATCTGTGTCAATATTTTGCTTAGAGCAAAACAAACACATGGAAACATTTCTTCTAAATAATCTCTTTAATGTCCTTCTCTTTTTCTGTTTTTTTCCCATCTTTCTCCTCACTATACTATTTCTCCTCTGTCTCTTTCATCCCTCTCCTACTTCTTATCTTCTTGCTCCAGAAACTGCAATTAGATCAACATAATTAGAATTATGTTGAGAATTCATTATCATCATCTATCTGCCATTTTGAGTCAGAACTGACTCATAACTGACCCTTCAGTGGGTTTCAAGAGGCTCTCCCTGGCAGCAGTTGGTGCATTCAGACTGCCCACCTTTGGGTTGGCAGTACAATTTGCTACAGAATATAGACTCCCTGGTTACTAAATCAGCAGGTGCTGAAAAGATGATCTAGACTCATCCTAGAAATCTAATCATTTATAAAATCCTTATGGGCAAAATGCCTAAATTGCTGATATATGATTGACAAAAGAACTTTTAAAGCTTAGTCCGTTTGGAATTTCAGAGTGATATGTGTTAAATGATACCTGATGAACACAAAAATGGTTTTATTTTGTACAAATAAAATGAACTAAAGCAAAGTAATTTTTTAAAACACACACACACAACAAAACAACAAACAACTGGACTGACTCACCATTGAATAAAAACAATTTTGCTGCACAGAGAGTCAGCTGGTGGTGGTGGTGGTGTGTGTGGTACGGTCAGAACTGATCCATAGCTGACCCTCCAGCAGGTTTTCATAGGCAGTAAATCACACAAGAAAAGATTACCCATTGTTCTCCTGTGAAGCAGCTGGTAGATTCAAACCACAAACTTTAGGATTACCAGCATAACTCATGACCACTAGGCCACTATTCCACTTGTGTTAGAGTAGAACATAAATTACATGTGATAATTTGTAGTAAACATATCAAATCTTAGGGTACAAAGAAGTTGATATACCATTGTTCCTTCTTGATAAAATAATTGTAATGAATAGCTTTACTATGAAATAAAAAAATGTCCTAGGTTTGATGACTTTAAATCACATTCATTGTATTTTCTCTCTTACTTTTAACATATATCAAACACCAGACCAGCTTCTATTGAGTGGCCTACAACCGACAGTAGCCCTGTGTGTGTCATAGTACAGCTGCCCTCCACAGAACTCAGAGTTGTAAGTCACACAAGAGGAGATTGTCCATCTTTCTCCCACAGAGCCACTGGTGGATTCGAACCACCAGAGAGGCACTATCTCTAGCTTAGCAAGTGCAACTCTCTATAGACTATGTGCCACCAGCGCTATCTGAGAGTTTTGTTTTTGAGATGACCTTTCAGAAGCAAACTTCCAGGCCATTCTTCTAAAGTAGTGCTGAGTGGGTTCAAACCACCAAAAGCTTTCAGCTAGCTAGATAGCAGCCAAGTACTTGCCTATTTATACTATGAGAGACTCCTATTCAACATAGGGTAACTAAAGTAACATGGAATTTCTATATTTGCTTAATTGGTGAGGGATTTAATCATTGAGACTAATTAGCATGAGTCCATAATGTCAGGATTTAAACTAGGCCAAAAAAAGAGAAGGACCAAAGTATGTATTTTAATAGAAAACTGTAATGACCTTATTACGGGCATTGTGCTACAGAGGTAAGTTTGAAAATGAGAGAAAAGCACAAAGGAGAGAAAGTAAGGCAAAAAGGAAACCATGAAAAGATTAATACTTTATTGTCCCTATAGTACTGAAAATGTAATGAATTATAATGGATATTTATTAATAAAATACATAATCAATGATGTTAGAAAATATGTGCTTTCTACCCTTATCTTCCATTTGGTAGATTTTAACACTTTTAAAGCCCTTTCACAGGTTCGAAGTGATTTCTTATGAGAAAGAACCACAGGTCAATGAGACTTAAATAAACAGAAGAGAAAAAACAGATTTAATTCTAAACTTGTTGTTGTTTGATGCCGTCGAGTCATAGATGACTCATAGCGACCCTATGAATGAACAGCCTGAGCACTGTTCGTACATAGAGTTTCCAGAGGCAAGCCCTTTCGGAAGTGGATGCCGCTCCTGCTTCCAGGCTTGATTTAGCCGGGAAACTCCAGCCAACACTGTCCACCATGGGTACCCATTACCACGATTGGCACATCACTGTCACAGTCTTCAGCATCACAGCAACCACGAGTTACCTCTGTACAGCAACGCACAGACCAGTGCTATACCACCTAGAAGAATGTTTGACAAGAAAACAATTTGAACCTGGCCGAGGGCCACAGATAAAAATCACCCACCTTCGACTTGGTAGCACAGCTTCCTTTCCACTAGGCCAACGTAGCTCTCTTGGTCGTTGTCATTGTTATTGCTGTTTGATGCCATCGAGTCGTAGACGACTCATAGCGACCCTATGAATGAACAGCCTGAGCACTGTTCGTACATAGAGTTTCCAGAGGCAAGCCCTTTCGGAAGTGGATGCCACTCCTGCTTCCAGGCTTGATTTAGCCGGGAAACTCCAGCCAACACTGTCCACCATGGGTACCCATTACCACGATTGGCACATCACTGTCACAGTCTTCAGCATCACAGCAACCACGAGTTACCTCTGTACAGCAACGCACAGACCAGTGCTATACCACCTAGAAGAATGTTTGACAAGAAAACAATTTGAACCTGGCCGAGGGCCACAGATAAAAATCACCCACCTTCAGCTTGGTAGCATAGCTTCCTTTCCACTAGGCCAACGTAGCTCTTTTGGTCGTCTTCATAATTCTAAACTTAGCCTGGGGTTTTTAGATTTCTGGACAAAAAAATACAGTTGAAGTTGTGTTTTTGTGGCATGAGAAGAACTAGAGAAAGCTCACAAGATGATATGGGGGTAAATGAATTCTAGCACTCAGCTACAGGGTTGGGACATTAAGGAGTAGCGAGGATTGCAGTAAACTGAAAAATGCTAAATGAACTGTGTCAAAACATTAAGTTTGGGGTATAGAAGGCACCTAATGTATTGAAATGGTCATATTCTTGCTTGCCTGAAATAGCTGGAAATTTTAGGGCTTGTTTACCTATCTTTTGTTCAGTAACCCATTCCTCAAAATCAGGAGGAATAGTACTGAAAGTCCCGAAGGTGGAAAGAGATGAGTTTGAAGAGCTTAAGGCATAGGAGGAAAATAAGTTAAAGAACCCTGACTGAATCTATGAAAGCCATCTGAAAGGAAGGAGATTAAAAAGGTATTAATAATATTTTGCATACATTAAATTAGTAAAAATGGTATTTGGATAGTCAACCGGTATGCGGAACAGATAATCCTAGTTCCATAATACAATAAATACTTCATTACACACAAAAAAAGTTACTCAATGGCTAGGAAAGCCATTTTGAACAGTAAACCCTTACATCACAGACCACTCCCTGACTTTTCAAGTCATTAACCTTCATATTTAAAGAATTCCTTTTCTCTTTCCCTATTTTATATAGTCAATTTCTAATTTTCCCATCCCTGTGTGAGAATGGCATGGAATAGGACAGTGTTCAGATAGGTTGTTCATAGAATCATTATGAGTTGTGCTTGACTCAATAAC